AGGGACTCTCCCCGGAGGTGGTGGAGGAGCTGCACCGTACCCCAGATTTGGCTCTCTGTGCCACAAAACAAACTGCTGCAGCGATCGTCCTATCCATGGCTACGAAGAGACATATTTGGGTTAACCTGGCAGACATCGAGGAGAAGGAGAAAAGTCTTCTCCACGATGCTCCGGTTTCGCCTTCCAAGCTTTTCAGCACATCCTTCGAGATGGTGGTTGGGAAGTTTTGGGAGGCGAAGGTGCGCTCCGCGGCTTTTAAAACCTTTATACCGCACCGGTCCAGGTCCAAGCCTCAAGCCTATGGTGTTTTTGGCAGCATGTTTATTTCCATAATCTGCCTTACTGATGGTTCAGCATTAGAGGCTGGTTGTGAATGCGTCATCTATTTCGGACAGTTTACTAAGTAGTAGGGTCTCTGTGAGTCTCCTTAGTTATTGCCTTTGCTCTGCAAGATGTCCTGAGTGTGGGGCACAGTTTGGTCTCCTCTCAATTTCCTCTTCTCATTATGCTGAGACCTTCGCACCTAGAGCTTGATCATCTACTGCGAGTGTCATCAGGCCTCATCTCGCTACAGAGAGTTCTTTCTTTGAGGCCTCCGTTCGCCAGAGCTCCGGTAGGCTCCTGAGCTCCTAAGCGTGGGACGTAGTGAGGCCTCCTTTCGTTTTAGAGAGTCGTCATGCTAAGCCCTCTGCTCCTAGAGCTCGGCTTGGTATTGGCTAGGTAGTATGGAGTGCTACTAGGCTGCCTCTCATTGAGAGATATTGTATTTAGGCCTGAGGCTGCTGAGGTCTCTATTCCTACAGTTCGGCCATCTACTGCGAGCGTCGTCAGGCCTGCTTTCGCTACAGAGTTATTTCTTTGAGGCCTCCGTTCGTCAGAGCTCCGCTAGGACAGCATCTGTGAGTTGTAGGCTCTCTCATCCTTATAGGATGTCCTGAGCGTGGGGCATAGTTAGGCCTCCTCTCGTTTTAGAGAGTCGTCATGCTGAGGCCTCCGCTCATAGAGCTCGATCATCTACTGTGAGTGTCGTCAGGCCTCCTCTCGCTACAGAGAGTTATTTCTTTGAGGTCTTTGGCACTCATCCCTTCAGCATGGCGGCGTGGGTATACCGTTCCCCATAGCACCCTCTGGGGGATGCAGCGTAGAGTTCCCATTTGAGAGGGAACGCATGTAACCATGGTTCCCTGAGAAGGGGAATGAGATGCTGCGTCCCTTTTCCATGCTTCAGGAATTTCTGCACGTCTCCTTCAGACATGAAGTGGATGACGTATTTTACAGGTGCCCTTTTATACACTCGGCCGCACCAGTTGTGATGTCATAGGCTGCCGCCTGCCAATGTCATGTTCATTGTCATGTTTAGACTTATGCTTCAGACACTGTTCATGCCGGAGGCATTCCCGATAGCGCCCACTGGGGGACGCAGTGTCTCGTTCCCCTTCTCAGGGAACCATGGTTACATGCGTAGCCTGAGACGTTTTCTTAATTTTATGCAAAATATAATTCTATATAATTTTCTACTCTATATAAATACGTAACGTCCAAAATTAAATGACCTTATTTAACAATTAACCTCTGGCACAAATTAGAAAGTAAATTAGTGAAGTGTTGAGTGCAATCTGAAACATTATGAAAAATAATATTGTGTGTGCATAAAACAATATTTCTTCTATTTTGTTCAATACGCTCAACATAAAGAAGCAAAAATACTTAGTGGATTGAAACATTAACTTTATTTTTTTTTCTTCCTAAAAAAGGATCAAATATACAGTTGATATAATTTAATATGCATATTGCTACATGCAAAGTAACTAGAAAGTTTGATCAGAAAGCTTTGATGAAATGGTTAAAGTAGCTGCGGGTGAAGCCCAGGAGATTACAGTGCTCTTATACGTCTCTTAATAACAACAGTATAGAGAGAAGACATACATTCATCAGTTGAACTTTGAGGGACCTAAGATGTGACTCTAAAGCAAAGTGGTGCAATTCAGGGCCTGTATGTACAAAGCATCTCAAAGTGCACAACACTGCTCCAGGATCAGATCTTCCCATTTCAGTCACAATATAAAACAACACAAATGACTTTGAGATGCACTTTATCAATATGGCCTGTTTGGAGTAAGCAATTCATTACCAGACAATGCAGCTGTTTTTTTTTTTCTGATCGAGTCAGCTATATGAAATTTAATCTGTACATATTACAAATCATGTTAGAAACGATGTATTTGCATAAAACAAGTGTTTTATAATTATAAAAGGACATTCTGGGTCATCGGCAAAGCATCATATTCATTTAAACAATACTCTGCTGATTGAATCGAGCACATCACTGATTAGTGGACATGCATGTCAATAACACAAGTAAATAAGTAATTGAATAGTCTAACTCCATCTGCTCAATGCTGCTCCAACACCATCCAATCATTAAAAAAAAAAGTCCACCTGATACACACAGTCCACAATGCAATGTGAGGTAGTGAAACACAGGTACAGTTCACACTTTCATATCATGTTTAAAATATTTATATACTTATGGAGTGTAGAATGTGGTTGCATACTCCTTGCCACAGAGAGGATTGTGAAACAGTTCTTTGTGGTATCGAGGGCTTGATAGAAAAAGGAAGAAAAAACGGCTGATAAAGATCTGAAGAGCAAGAACAGAATGTACTGTAGCACAGACCGGATTCTGCAGCAAAGCGGATGAGAAGGAGAGAATATAGACCGCTTTCTTGCTTTGGATCATTAATTGAAACTCACAAAACCTGTCAATAACATGTCACCCCACAACCAGAAGAAAAAATGTAATTATATTGAATGAAGCCTATTTTAGGACCATTGTTATTTATTTAGAATTATAATCCTCCCCCAACCATAATGGAAAAAATAGTATAATATTTATTTAAATTGTAAAGTATCTGCTGTATTTCCCTAAATGTATGCTTATTTTTAAATGTACAATTATTGTATTAAAGCAATTAAATATATATATATATATATATATATTGTATAGTATCACTGTACAGTAATAGAGAAACATGGAAATAATCATGAAGTATTATATAACATTTATGGTCCTAAAAATTAAGGCTTAATTTTCTTCATTTTTTTGAAAATCAGAATTAATTCTATATATATATATATATATATATATATAATAGATAGATAGATAGATAGATTGATAGATTTGAGACATACCTCACAAGCATAGCCTGTTATCCACTTGGAAGGGCCTCTTGTAGGGTTTCTGCACTGTAGTATAGTATACACAAGTATACCCGGCTACAGCCTGCAGCCCCATACCTACTCTGATTGGTTCGATCGTCTTTCATAGGCATAAATGATAGGAAATGTGTGTGTAGTTGGTGTAGGATGGAGTATGTTGTTTAAAAAGCTAAAAACGCTGTGCAGTTTTAGCCTTCATTATAATGCACAGACAAAAAAACATTAGCCTGCAACTCACCATGACATTTAATAAATTAATTGGGTTGATTATCCACAGTGGTAAGTAGATATAAACTATTTTAATTATATATATATTTTCTTTTGACTTGGGGTGAAATGTGAGATTCGCCAGATTCTGTATGAATGAGATATTAAGTGATTTGGGTATCTGTGCTTGATACAGATTTGATTATTGTGGTAGTGTTAAGCCACAAATAAAGACATTCACAATGATTCAAGAAGAGACAAAAAGGAGAACAAGCTCCAAAAACATCAAGCAATGTTTTTTTCGTTTTGTTTTTTGTAATGCATTTACTAAAAAATGACAGACGAATAGCATAAAATCAACTATTTATGGTGTCAGATCTGGAAGCTGTTAGTTTAAAAGTAGTATTTCCACAGCTAATGAAGCCATGAAACACAGGTTAAATGTGTTAAAACAGATAGCAAGAATGAATTCACAGGTTAAAACAAATTCATTATAAAATATGACAATTGAGGCATAAAAACTTATTGCCTATAATTCTAGCTATTGCTGGTTTGGTTTGGTGAATATTACTCTGGTCAGTTAAACTGTAAACCTCTAGAATCCAAGATGACACGACTCGCTGTGTTGATGTAAAAATGTAGTTCTATGGTCTATATTATTTGGCTTTCTAATACACAAAACATAGAGAAACCTGTGTATTACTACAACAGAACATAAACAATCCGAAAGTGTGTGTGTGTGTGTGTGTGTGTGCGCGTGTACGTGTGTATCTGAATCTTTTAGATGTTTAACACCGTATCTACACCAGACACCTGCGACAAAACTAAATTACTCCGGTCATAATCAACGGAGTTGTCTACACTGTGAGCACCTGATGTGGACGCCCGCTTCTCCATTTCATATCTAAAATGAAGTGATTTTTATTAAAAAATATAATTTGCTCAATTTCTTTGTTATAAATTGTATTCTTTACAGGTTTAAATAAATTCTGACCGTTATATCAAAAGCCAGCTCATGATGTTTCTGATCTGACAATCATTTTAATCATTTTTTATTTTTATCCATATGCACATGCAGTTGTAGGAATACGGACATATGTAAAATTTATTATAAATTGAATCAAACGCGAAATCAATTCTATAATGGATTTCTATTGAAAATATAATTTTTCAAGTGAATCGCTTAAGTTCAGCCTTCTATACAAATTTGAATGATTTTTTGATTTCTAACAACATGCATGTGCAGTTGTAGGAATACAAACATATGTAATATTAACAATAAAGTTAATCATATGCAAAATCAATTTTAATAATGGATATCTGTAGAAAAAGATTTTTAAAAAATGTTATAGTCATTTTAATAATCGCTGAAGTCTAGCCTTCTGGTCGGACTTATTAATTTAAATCATTTTGTTATGTCTAACCATAAGCATATGCAGTTGTACGAATACGAACATACATCAAATTATCAAATCAATCACATGCAAAATCAATTTAATGCATTTCTGTTAAAAGTATGCAAAATCAATTTTAATAATGGATATCTGTAGAAAAAGATTTTTTAAAAATGTTATAGTCATTTTAATAATCGCTGAAGTCTAGCCTTCTGGTCGGACTTATTAATTTAAATCATTTTGTTATGTCTAACCATAAGCATATGCAGTTGTACGAATACGAACATACATCAAATTATCAAATCAATCACATGCAAAATCAATTTAATGCATTTCTGTTAAAAATAAAGATGTTTTTTGTCTGATCGATTGTCATTTTAGTAATCGTCGATTACTGAAGTCTAGCCTCGAGCTTCCGGCTGACTGTGAGCGTATCCAGTGCAGACGGCCTCAAGTTGTTGCGATATCGTCCGCTTCCAGTGTAGACACAGACGCGTTTGAATAGACCCTTGCTTTGTGTACGACTTACTCACCAGCCGTCGTGAAACGTTCCCATCTGCTACTTCCAACAAATCCTCTAAGCAGCTGTCTACTTCACCTTCCTACTTTAGTTTTTCTACACCGATTTGATAGTGAAACATCTGTATAATACATTCACAAGGTAGACAGCTGGCAGGGTTGGGTGTCAGGCAGTATCGTTCAGACACATGTGCAACACACGAGTGCCACCCGTGCCTCTACCCCGAGTCTCGTGCGCAATCTCGCACGACTGGAACTCCTTTGGCTGCCGCATGCTCTCCATCCGGGCGGGAATTCTGGAGCACTTTTCATCTGTGGCTTCTTTTGTTTTCTTTTTCATCCTCTGTCTCTGTCAGAAGAACATGTACTGGTTGTCGATGGCTCTTTTGCGCCCCCTGTTGGGAGGCTCCAGTTCGTAGTCAGAGTCCCGGTTGGGCAGTAGGGGCGGCAGCGGGTTGGGGTGGCGGAGCAGGTTTCTGCGGCCCACCGACTCGCTCCGGCGCAGGGGGACGGGGCGATCTGGAAACGAAAGGGGCATGTGGTGCTGGAGCGCGGCTAATGCTGACGACTGGGCCGTGGAGGGGCTGGAGTGAGGGCAAGAATCGGGACTACAGTGAGCCAGACTCTGCTCTGAGCTCCAGCGAGAGAAGGGCACCAATAACGGAGAGCCAATAGCCGAACTCTGACCTAGAGAGATGCAAGAGAAAATATTAACGCAAAAGTGAAATATTTCCTGAGCAGCAAATCAGCATATGTGACCCTGGAGCACAAAACCAGTCTTAAGTCGCTGGGGTATATTTGTAGCAATAGCCAAAAATACATTGTATGGGTCAAAATTATTGATTTTTCTTTTATGCCAAAAATCATTAGGATATTAAGTAAAGATCATGTTCCATAAAGATATTTAGTAAATTTCCTACTGTAAATATATCAAAACTTAATTTTTGATTAGTAAAATGCATTGCTAAGGACTTCATTTGGACAACTTTAAAGGTGATTTTCTCAATATTTTGATTTTTTTTTTTGCATCCTCAGATTCCAGATTTTCAAATAGTTGTATCTCGGCCAAATATTGTCCTCTCCTAACAAACCATACATCAATGGAAAGCTTATTTATGCAGCTTTTAGATGATGTATAATCTCAATTTCGAAAAATTGATCCTTATGACTGGTTTTGTGGTCCAGGGTCACATATTAGAAAGATTTCTGAAGGATCATGTGACACTGAAGACTGGAGTAATGATGCTGAAAATTCAGCTTTGCATCACAGGAATAAATTACATCTTAAAATATATTCAAATAGAAAACAGTTATTTGTAATTGTAATAATATTTCACAATATTACTGTTTTTACTGAATTTTTATCAAATAAACCCAGCCTTGGTGAGCAGAAGAGACTTCTTTTATAAACAATGACCCCAAACTTTTGAATGGTAGTGTACTGTATACTTACAATGATGTCCATCAAAAGAAATGATTATGGATAGAAATCATGAACTAGATTATAACCGTATTTTACTTCATACACTAAACATTTTAAATCTACCCGACAATAAACCTCAATATACTCCCTATATCCCATAGAGGGCATTGTCTTCACATTCACAACCTCTACAAGTATCACAGTGTGTTTGAAGTATATTCTGTAGAAGTATGTGCAGCACGTTAGTAAAATGTGTATATGTATGTGTGTGATAAAACATGGTATTAGGCTTTGTTTATGTGTGTGTGTGCTTGACCGCATTATTACAGCTTGTGAGGGAGGGACTGCAGGAAACAGAAACTTGTACGGTATGTGTTTGAGTGTATGGATGAGTATGTGTTTGAGAGAAGGAATGTTTCCTGGTGTCAAGTCTCACAGAACTACTAAAACCTATCTAAACCACAAAGCACAAGAGGAAAAATGGATCCTGTCAAGCTCTTTCTGTGTGTGTGTGTGTCTGTGTGTGTGTGAGAGAGACAGAGAGACAAGAAATAAACTACATGCATGTTTTTAGCCGCTTGAACATTCTAGATATAAGAATAACTGCTACGTAATATATTATTTTTATTATATACCATTCTACATTATATTTGAACTGTGCAGTGCTAAACAGTGTATGATCACAAACTAGATTTATACAGTTTTATTATGCTTTTTAATGTGGTTTACAAACAAAATCCAAAATTGATTCTTGCCAAGTGACAAATGTGTGAAAAAAATGGCGGTGACTAAATCAAACGCATTTACTCGCCATTATGACCTGCAAAATCACATGGTTTACATCAGACTGTGAAAATGACTCAGAAGTGATTCAAATCAAGTCGTCTACTAAGAAAACATCTGTTGTGACTTGAGTAACATTTGTTGCATGTGCAAAAGGATGTTTAAAGGACTTTTTTCCCTCCAAAACGTCACATTGTGGCATTTATGTGTTATATTGCTCATATTAGGCCATCAGAACGAAAGTATGAGAAGCAAAATCACAATGTGTCCTTATGTTTTTTTCACAAGTGAAGTTTCACACAAATTACTCGTTCATCTTGTGTGTGCAATTTCTGTGAATGATGCATTAATCTGCTCTGTTGTCACAATTACGCAAAATGTTATTATAATAGGGTCAAATATGCATTGTTAATAAAAACAATGCAAAATACAGTCTCACCTGTGTGAGTGGGGTTTACCCGCACATAATTGACCAACATAACTTCACACGCAGCGCCGCACTCCAGCGGGATCGGACAGTTGCGGAAGTGACTCAGCATGTCCATGACTGATGGGAAACGCAGGTGCTGCACACGACACTGACCCCATTCAGTTAAAGATAGACGCAAATGCTGCAAAGGAAGAAAAACAGTGGAAAATGCAATATAAATACAGACATGAACAGAAAGATGTGCAACAGTCATTGTGATGTTATCCTTACTAAGCAAAAAGGAAAGCACCAATATAAAGATCTGATATACTTGATACTTTTACAATAATTTTAATAAATAATTGAACAATAATTATTTTTATGTAATGACTAATACTGATATGATGGCCAATCTTAATCATATAAATGTAATTAAAAAAAAAAAAGTATTCAAACAATATAAAGCACAGTAAAAAGAAAAAAAAAAGGACAGAAAATCTTTTAATGCTTTTAAAACCATTAGAAAAAAAAACTGAATAGGAAAACATATTCCCTGTTTAGCAGCATAAACATGATACCAATAAAAGAAACATAAATAAAAATAAACAATTATGAAAATAATTATATATATATAAAATATATAAATCATTAATAAAAAAATAATAAGATATACCAATTTGGTCACTACTTATATGATGGCCAATCTTGTACATTTACATCTGTTGTGTGTACGTGACTCGCCCTGGCCGCCGGGCTCTGTACTCCCTCTGCGAGCTGTGTTGAGCGAGTCGCTAACAGGAAACGGTTCTCCATCCACACTATCTGACCTGGAATCACACACACACTCTCATAAACATCTATGAACTTCTTTAACTGCATAATGAAGTGGTCACAGAATGTCACGCAGTCAATAACATCACATCACATATGCTCAGGTACGTCAACACTACAGAGCAAAGCTTTCAATAACGAGATACATTTTTTCCCCCCATGCATACAGTGGCCCTAAAAATCATGTGGACCCTTAAGTAACACTTTCAAATGTGTGAATGTCATTACATTACAAAGTATAAAACCAGTTCTTTATTTTAAAGAACTTCAATTTCAAATCAATTCAAGTTTATTTGTATAGCGCTTTTCACACACTTTTTTTTTAAAATACATTTTTACTGATAAACTATAAAATGTATTATCTTAACTATTTTAAAATAGTTACATTATTTTAACAGATTTCTATTTAAGTACATTTCATTGTTTTAATAAAATAAATGATTAATTATTATTATTTCACATTTTGAATTCAATTCCGTGTAAAACGTCTTCAAATAATCAAAATAGGGATTTTAAAAGTTATAAGTTATAAAGTTAGAATTTAAAAATTCTGGTTTGTTTGTAATTTTGGAAATGGAAGATCAAGATCAACGCATTGCATTGTGGGATACATTTTTCTGTGTAGTATACTCAGTTGTATACTTGGCAAATGTAGTAGGACATTCATATATTTCTTGCAAAAAGACAATTTTGATGCTGCTTTTACTATGCATATTGTAGAAATAGTGTGTGTATATATATATATATATATATATATATATATATAT